AGTGGGTTGTCTTGTTACCAATCCAGTCTTTTCCTTTTCCTTTTTAAAAAAAGTAAATGGATGTTGCCAGTCTGGTCTTTTGACAGCATTTTACTGCCTATAGAGCAGGAGTAAGGTTAAAGAACTGTTTCATTTTGCTTTTAACATTTTTTTCCAGAAAAGTGCGTCTCCGCTTGTTCAAATATTAGTAGGCATGTCTATTTGATTTCAGACCCCCAGAGCAATAGGAAGTAATACTAATAAAAGATTATTTACAAAAGCATAGCTCAGAGAACACTGCCATTTACACTCATGGACCACAATCTTCATGTATCCCAAATACTAAACAGACTGATCTTTTTTAGATTTCACCCTACCATTCTAGTGCTTGGTCGTCCAGCTAAGTCATGGGATTTATTTCTAAAAAGTCTACTATGTGGTTGTAATGTTAATTACTAGGACTTGGATCAATGTCGTTTAAATCACCAGTTATAATCAACATTTAAAAATGAAATAGAAAAGAAAATATTAGCAGGGTAGTAAGGGTAAAGACTGTTTTGTGTAACTTCTTTTTCTCTGTGTCACATATGTATATGTATTTTGGGTAGGGATGTAAAATATATTTCTTACTGAATGGTCAGAATTTTTAAAGATAGGTTTATTGGCCAGACCACTGCATGGGATGAGTTCACTTGGCTTTTAGTTCTAGCTGTATTACTGTCTCAGTAATCTTGAGAAAAATCACTTAACATGTTTCTGTTTCCTCATCTGTAAAATGGGAATCAAAGAGATAATGCTGGAGCAAGTGCTTTGAAAAGTATACACAGTGGACAAATACATCTTTTACTCTATGAAAATAAGATGCTCTTAAATAATAGGCCTTAAAGGAACACGCTAAGCAGTAAAGCAGTAGGGTCGTTCAAGCTAGTCATCCTGAGAGTCTGAATTCAGTGGTGTTACCAGTGCCTTGAATGTGGTTGCCAAGGACGCGGCTTTGTACACTGTGATGAAATTTGGAGTGTGATGACCTAGGTTCAATTCTACATTGTTTCTGTCATAGCCTACTGACCTACTGAACCTTTCAGTTTCCTATATGTAAAATGAAAATAACAATAGTACCTAACGCCTTGAGATTTTGGGGGAAAATCGAATGTGAAATTGAGTGAATATTGACATATAATAAGCACTCAAAAGGTGTTAGCTCTTATTGTTTGTACTTAACGTGCATGTCTGCTGTAATTCATAGTACTATGCCCCAGTGGTTCAAGCCAAAAATCTAGGATTCATTTTCAGCTCCTGGCATTTCCTCACTCTATAGCAACCATCAGAAAGGCCAGTTGACTATCACTTCAAAACATGTCTTGAATTTCTCCACTTCATCTCCACTGTTGTCACTGTAGTCCAAACCACCACCATCTCTCTTGTACCTTTGCAGAAAGTCCTTAACTTGCCTAACACCTCTTTTTCTTGTTCTTCCCTGACCCAGTCTCCATTTAGGAGCACCAGAGTGATCTTTTAAAAATGTAAATTGATGCTGTTGCTCACCTGCTTAAAATCTTGTAGTGGCTTTCCGTCATACTTAGGATAAAATTCAGACTCCTCTTCTTGGCCCCCTTTACTTCACCCACCTCACCTGCCTTCTCTGCCTTGTTTGTGGATGCTCCAGCCACATGGGTCTTCTTTTTCACACATCACGTCATCAGATTCATTGTGTCCTGAGGCCTTGGTTTTGCTGTTCCCTGGGCTTCTGCCACAGGTCTTTGCCATGTGGACACTTCCGTATTGTTCAGATCTTGGGTCCTCCCCGAGACCCGTCCTGACTGCCTAAGTAGAAGTTGCTCCTCAGTCATGCTCTATGCCTTCTGTTTTATTTTCACCTTAGCATTCATCCTTGCCTGGTATGTTCTTATTTATTCTTTGTTGTGTTACCTGAACCACTCACCAAATTGTGAAACCATGAGAAGAGGGACGTTATAGTATTCAAGGCAGCCTCCTCAGTGCCTAGGACACTGCATTTAACGTATTCATTAAATATTAGCTGGATTGTGTACAGCAGCGAACAGGGACAGATACGCCCCTGTGTTCAGACTTTGTGACTTAGGGCAGGGTCAACAATCCTTTTCTGAGAGGGCCAGGTAGTGAATAATTCAGGTTTGTAGACCACCTTGGGCTTCCTAGCTTTCAGAACCATGAGTAATAAGAAATAAATCACCCACTGTGTGTTATTTTGTTATAGTAAGTAGGCTAGCCGTGCTGACTACCTGGAAAATAAACTTTCCTGGAGGGGGAAAGTTTGCTCTCCTCCTTTCTTCTGCTCATATCTCAAGTGTTCTGGATCCCAAGGATTCTACAGGCCCAGATGTGTGCAGAAGGTCTACATGGATGAATGCACCATTTGGTAGCTACAGTTTTCTGAAGCAACGTAGGATGGGGTGAGGTTTAACTTTTGTTTACTTACAGCAGACTGAGCCACAATGTGGGAGGCTGGAAAGGGATCAGAGGAAACTGCCTCTTATCAGCTACCAATAATGGGGCTTATAGGCAACACAGCCCGGATTATTTTATAATTTGTTTCAGTCTGATTTTCTATATCTAGGACAAGTTTAGATTAGAAACATCCAACCAACAGCAGGAATAGCCCTATCAGCACCGTATGTCAGTGTTGTGCTGAGCAGCCTTGACCTAATTTTGACAGACAGCTGTCACATGGCAAAACCAAAAGGTAAAAACCTGTTTCTGGATGTCTGGTGACTTGTGTGCGGATTCTGAAAATGGAATATATGTGTGCCCACATCAGCGCACATTTTAGAGCTCCAGAAAACTCAGCTTCTCTGTGGCCTTTTGCGTCCTGTTTACCTGGATCCTAATTTATAGCTACTAGTGTGTCTGTATTTCCTCTTCTGCCCTGACATTCACCATCTTGAACCTCAGCTTCCACAGTAGGCATTTGCTAGGTTCCAGCATATCTAAATCTGGACAGACCTTGGCCCGCTGTCTTTTTGATTCTCATTTGATATACTCTGGTTTTTGCCATTGCGGTTTCTAGATTTGATCAGGGGGAAGTGAGAGGTTGCTGTAAGGCAGAAATTCCCAACACAGCAGACCAGAGGGGTCTGACACATTCAGCCTTTAGCCTTCATGCAGGTGGATGGGCACTGGGGCAGCCAGAGAGCCCCTTTGTTTAT